TTTCCTTTTCCAATGACTGGTTCCTTCTGGTAACCTACCCAGAGTATGTCAGACAGAGCTTCAAAATCCTTGCCTCCAAGGAGCAACTTGGTTTCACCTTCTCCAGTACAAACCTGTTTGTTCTTTTTGCAGTCCCTCATGTGTGTTCAGTACTCCTCCAGCATCACAACTCAAAGACATAAATTTTTCTTTTGTCATCCTTAGTCATTGTCCAGGTCTCTGATGTAATTGTGAAGAGACAAGTAATTGTGAAGACCATGTCCTGGATCAGGTTCATCTTGTTAGTTTCTAGACTAACACGGTTGCTCTTTAGCACTCTGGGGAGGTCCCTGACAGCAGGGACAGCAATTCATCTTTTGATTTCCTGACAAGCTGAAATTCTTAACAATCTCAGTCTCTTCTCCATTTATCATGACACTGCCAATTGACCCAGTGCTGAGAATCTTTGTTTTCTTTATGTTGAGCTTCAATCCATATTGAAGACTGCAGTCCTTGAACTTTTGCAGGTCTTCCTCATTTTCAGCAAGCATATTGCAGGTTGTTGATGAGTCTTCCTCCAGTCCTAATGCCACATTCCTTCTCATAAATTCCAGACTCCCAAATTATCTATTCTATATACAGATTGAAAAGGTATGGAAACACTCTGACACATTTTCTTCCTAATGCCACATTCCTTCTCATAAATTCCAGACTCCCAAATTATCTATTCTACATACAGATTGAAAAGGTATGGAAACACTCTGACACATTTTCTTCCTGATTTTGAAACATGCAATGTTTCCTTGCTCTGTTCTGATGCCTGCTTCCTGGACCAGGTATAGGGTTCTCATGAGCACAGTCAGGTGTTCTGGGATTCCCATTCTTATTAACATTAGCCACAATTTGTTGAGTTCAGCACAGTCAAATGCCTTTTTATAGTCACTGAAAAACAGATAAACATTTCATTGGTACTTTCTGCTTTTAGCCAAGATCCATCTGACATTGGCTATTTTGTCCCTAATGCCTATTCTAATCCCAGCTTATATTTCTGGTAGTTCCTTGTCAATGTACCTTTCAAGGCATTTTTGGATAATCTTTAGCAGAATTTTGCGTGTGTGTGTGTGATATTGTTTGATATTTTCTGTAATTTGTTGGATCCCCCTTTTTTTTGGAATGGGAATAAATATTAATCTCTTCCAGTCAGTTGGCCAGATTTATTGATACAACCTGGTAATCACATCCAGGAAACCATCTGTTTGTTGAAATAAGTCAATTGGTATTCCATCAATTCCTGGGGCCTTCCCCCCAATTCCTTTCTTTTGATCATATATTGTATCATGAAATTCTTCTGTGTCAGACAATTATTTTTTAGTACTGTGTCTCTGTGTACTCCCTCCATCTTCTTTGGGTGCTTCCTGGGACATTTACTATTCTTCCCATGGCATCTTTAAGTATTGAAATTTAAACTCAAAGAGATGTATGCACACCATGTTTATTGCTACATTATTTACAATAGAGAAGAGATGGAAGCAACTCAAGTGCCTTCAATAAACGAATGGATAGAAAACCTATGATACATGCACACAATGGAATACTATGCAGCACTGAAAAACAATGACATTTTAAAACATTATACAAATGTAGGAGCCTTGAGGACATTATGGCAAGTGGAGTATCTTAGTCACAGAAAGACAAATGCTGCATAACACCAGTTATAAAATAGGACAAATATAAGGGGATTGGGGAGGGAATGGAGGAAGAGAGCATTAGAACAGATGAGAGGAAGAACTGTCCAAAAGGAATTTATGCTTATGCATTATATGTATGAGAACAATCTGGAACAAAGATTGCATTGTGGGGTGGGCCAGGCAGGGAAGGTGGTGAGGAAGAATGTGCAACGATGAATAAATAAGGGGGGGGGAAGAAATGCTAAGCAAGTTTATCCCTTTTGATTTCCTGATTCCAGCTCTTTGCATATTTCATTATTGTACTTTGCTTTATCTTCCCAAGCCACTCTTTAAAATTTTATGTTCAACTCCTTAACTTCCTAATTCCTTCCCTTTGCTTTGCCTTCTCAGCACTCAAGTACAATATTCAGAGTCTCTTCTGACATCCATCTCAAGTCTTCCTCCTCTATCTCTATAGTGACCTTTTGCATCCTTTTAAAATTTTTTTTTATTATTATTAATTTTAATGAAAATTTACAGAGACTTTGGATTTCCATTCATTCATTATCGCACTTTTCCCCCTGCCCACCCCTCCCGTCCAGTTCGCTCTTATCTTTGAAAAGTAAAAGAAAAATTCTTTCATTGTTATATAATCCCACCCCCTAAGTCCACTCCACTATGCAGCCTTTGTTCTGGACTTCTGTCATGACAAAAATACCTATTCACATATCGCTTTTAAACAGTTCTCTCCCTCATCTTTTTCAATGCAGTATATATTATTTATCCCATCTTTCTCAGTCTCCCTCCAACCCTGATGTCAGTCCCATTTTACAACAATGGCACTATGCAGCATTTGTGTTTTGTGACTAAGCTATTTCACTCCCATGGCTCATCTGGTTCATCATGGTTCATCAGTGTTCTAGACCTCAACCCTATTCTAAGATGGTTTTTAGGTTCATGTGGAATAGACTCAAGGTCAAATTTTGTTCTTGTGACTTTGTTTTAATTTTCTTTACCTTCAGCTTGAATTTGCACATAGTAGTTGATGGTCTATTCCACCATCAGCACCTGGCTTAGTTTTCACAGCTGATATTGAGTTTCTCCCACAATTCTTTCTAGAGATGTAATTAATCTGAGTCCTGTATAGGCTATTGGGTGAAATCCATTTATATAGCCATCGTTTGTGTTTCTTATAAAAGATATTTGCAATGAATAAATCATTGATTATGCAAAACTCTATCATTCTGTCTCTAGCCTCATTTCTGTCACCAAGTTTTCTGATCCTTCTTCCCTGTTCCCAATTTTTGCATTCTAGTCACCCATTACTATGAATGCATTTTGGTTGCATATTCTATCAATTTGTGACTGCAAAAGTTACTAGAAATAATCTATTTCCTCCTCTGTTTGTTGGTACATATTGAAAAGGTTATTTTCACATTTATTTTTGATGCAAACAACCACTGGTCATTTGGTCCTCACAGGAGGCTCTCCCTGAATCTTAGGAGGTTATGAGAGGCAGTATTTGCTCCACAGGGGGTTTTGGGAAATGCACAGCAGGTGGCCAGGATGTGTAAGAGAAGCCTTTGTAAAGATTGATTTGAAAAAGAGACTGAATATAAATGATAATGACATACCTGACATTTGTGGTGTGCCTTCACAAAAATTTCTTCATTTATTCAACAAATATTGTTTGAGTGCCAAATTTGTGCCAGCTCTGGGGTTACAGTGATTAAAAAACCACATTATATATACTGAGAGTCTTGTGAAGGAGAGATACAATAGGAGTGGGTTTTGCTTTGACATTAAACATCTTTTGAGAAAGAAATGAATAAGTAGTATTGTTATATTTAGTCAGATGAAAAAGCTCATGTTCTGGGTAAGTAAATACTTGGTCGCAAATCATGTATTTATTAGTGGTGTAGAGAGAGTTGTTTTCCAAGTTTACTTTTTCTCTACTCTCAATAACTGACTTATACCACTTGTAGTATACAGTTTATGCATTTTAACTTCTATTTTATGCCACAAGTGTCAGAGATGATGCTGAATACTCATTTGGAAGGGATAAACTAATTCCTAGCAATGTATGAAAGTTAATTAAGTTATGACTGCTCAGACCACATCCAAGGCATGAGGGAATTGCTCCAGCTCACCATTTCTTTGAGAGGCCTGACCCTAGTCTATTGCTCTTCCTTTTAACCCTGCTTTCTTTCTCAGGTCAGCAAGTACTTGCTCAACTCAAGGCCAAGCAGGTGACAATGCAGGATAAACAAAAGAAGGCAAAACATGAGTCGTTCTAAGGAATTTTTTTAGTTTAGTGAAAAGGTAACAGCTGTGAAGCACTTAGAAAACCACAAAAAGTCATGTTATCTCTGTGGGAGATGCTATTGAGATCTGGGTTTGGGATCCAGCACGTAGAATGAGAAGGTCCAGAGGGAAAGATGGACTTTATCAAGGGCCTTGAAGGGTCCATAAAGTGTGTAGAATGGCCTATATAGGTGGTGTGAAAGTATATGGAAAGGTGAATGGAATATATACCTTTGTCCTGCTGCCGGAGAAAAGCCATTCAATATTTATGTCCTGGTTGAACCCTTCATATAGCTTCATAATTGTGGTAGAGCCCCCAATATAGTGGTTCTTTTGCTCAAAATTTGGCTTTCCTAGACCATTGTCTTTAGCTTGTAAGTGTTCTTTTCTGCTTGCCTAGAACTAATCTTGCTGCCTCATCTCTTCCTGGCCTGCAAATATGTGACCTATCTATATCGTCAAAAGCTTTGTGAGCCATTTACTCAAATAGAACATGTTAACCTATCCTCAAGGGGATTGGCTAGTTTCCCCATTAAATTGAGCAGATTCAGTGGCAAAAAATGGAGATCTCACAACCAAAAGGAGAAGAGAAAGCAGAAAATATAGCACATGTCCTTTAAGGCTCGAGATTCCTGTGCCAGGGATTGTGTCTTGTTGATTCACAAGCTGTCTGGACTCAGAGATCTTGCTGTTAAATGTGAAGCTCTTTGGAGTGAGTTGTATTTTGTGTTCACTTACAAGCTCTTGGGACTGAGGGATTTCATCTTCCTGATAACCAGAATTAGATATAGCTTGTTAACTTTCCTAATAAATCCTATAACCACGTCTTGTCAAGTCTGTGTGGTCACTACAGTGGATTTCTAACCCAGTAAGTGGGTGCAGGAATGTCGAATGGCATGGTTTTACCATGAGAATTAGTTTTGTGTGGTGAATGCTGTTGAGGGCAATTCCACCCTGTGGAGTTAATAGAGGTTGGACTCAGCAGTCATTATGTTGTCTTTATTTGAATTACTGAAGCCATATGTCAAATGTGTTGATTTTGTCTTTCAGTATGGCCCTCCTGGAATTTATCAACCTGGACAGATAACAGATCATACAGTTCTTAATATCTATGGGGGCTTTTCAGTGAACCGAGTAAGTGGTTTTCTATTAGATAAATACAAGGTAAGAAATCTCAATTTTTTTTTACTCATTTCTATTGTGACATTTTGGAATCAGAACCATGGAGGGGAATATGTATTATGTTATCGTGAGATTGATTTTGGGGAAAATCTATGAGGGGAAAAAAACCCTCAAAACTTGAAACCAAACAATTGTGTATGTGCATTTCACTATTTATCATTGAATGAACATGTTTAAATGTCTCTTTCAGTATATGCATTGCTTTTCACAAATACTATGTTGCAAAAAGTAGTTAAAATATAAATATTTACTGCCTGCTTTTTGTTTTATTTTAAAGATTGAGTTATAAATTATATAGTTGATTTTTTAAAAAATGTCTTTTTTTCTTATGAGAAAGGATATGCTTTTCCTTGCAGGGTCTGTGATGCCAATGCTGTGTTCCTTTCTTTTTATTAGCCAGGAAAGTTACAGCAGGAGTTTTACAAAGATAGTGACCTGGCCATAGGAACCACCATCAATGTATGGGGAAGAAAAGTCCTCATTTGTGACTGTGATGAATTTACGAAGTGTTATTATAAGAAAAAATATGGAATTGGTAAGTGCCACAATATTATGTAGAAAATAATGTTGAAAAACTTGGACTATTTGTTTCCTACTTCAGACTTTTCCTTCAAGTTTAAAATGCTAAGCTCATAATTTTTTTTCACTGCTGTAGAGTTGTTACCAACTCATAACTACCCTCTAGGTCAGAGTATTACTACCCCATAGGATTTCCAAGGCTGAACACATTTAGGAGGGAGCAGACTGCCTCATCTTCTGAAGAGGGACTGGAAAGTTTAAACTGACAAATTTCTACCATCGAGATGTATTAACCTCATAATGCTCTCTAAAACTCAAATTTATTGCCATGGAGTAGGAACTGACTCATAACTGACCCTCCATCAAGTTTTTTTAAGGCTGTAAATTATAAGATAGGGACTTGCCCATTTTTCTCCCTTGTAAATTCTGGTGGATTCAAACCACGTTTGAGTTGGCTGTGCAGTTCCCTGTGGACTATTTATACCACTAGAGTTCATGCTAAGCTTATAATAGGTATAATTTATTAAGCTTTTGGTGTCTGCTAGACATCTTTCATATTTATTCCTAGCAATAATCCCATCAAGATAGGCTACTATCTCCCATTCAGAGATCAGGAAACTGAAGCTTGGAATGGATAGCAAGAAATTGGTGAGCTAAGATTTGAACTTTAGTCTACTTGATATTAGAGACTTATATTTCCCCTTCTCCTTCCTCTGATTCACAGTCAAATAAATGTTTTTGTTGGGAAATACAATGGATATACTTATTTGAGTTCTGCGAGAAATACACAGGCCAGTTTGCTCTACTCAACCAGATGCCCAACTTGTTTCCTCTTCAATATTAATGCTATTCATTCAGTTTAGTTCAGTTCAGAGTGAAAAACAAAAGCAATGACTTATTAATCTGCAATACTGAGAGATGCTAAGGGAAAAACTTGAATGATCCAGGAAACATCAAAATAATATGGATTTGGGCTTTACTCCCAGGTCTTTGATCCACTTTGAGTTGATTTTTGTGTATAGCTTTGATTTCTTTGTCGAATATCAGTTGGCCGTAGATATCTGGGTCTATTTCTGGGTTCTCAATTCTACTCCATTGGTCTATGTGCTTGTCATTGTACCAGTACCATGCTACTTTTGTTACTACTGCTGGGTAGTAGGTTTTGAGGTCAGGGAATGCTGTGCCTCCAACCTCATTTTTGTTTCTCAGAAGTGTTTTGCTTTTTGGGGGTCTCTTGCCTCACCAAATAAATTTAATAATTTCCCTTTCAATCTCCTTGAAAAATGAATTTAGTATCTGGATTGGGATTGGGTTGAACATATAGACTGCTTTTGGTAGGATTGTCATTTTCACAATATTGAGTCTTCCTATCCATGCACATAGTTGTAAGGAGAGACAGGTCCTTGGAGAGGGACATCATGCTTGGTAGGGTGGAGGGACAGCGCAGGAGGGGAAGACCCTCTATGAGGTGAATTGATTCAGTGACTGGGGCAATTGGGATGGGTGTGTCAGAGGCAAGCGATTGGCACAGGATTGAGCAGGGTTTAGGACTGTTGTACATAGGGTCGCTATGAGTCTCAAACGACTCAACGGCACATAACAACAACAACATCCATGAACAGGGCACATTTCCACATTTCTTTGTCTTTTATTGTGTCTTGCAGAAATGCTCTGTAGTTTTCTTTGTATAGAGCTTTTGTATCTCTATTAAAGTTCACTCTCAAGTATCTCAATTTGTGATTGGCTATTGTAAATGGTATTGCTTTCTTGATTTCCTTCTCTGAGTTCTCCTTGTTACTGTTGTTTTTGTTAAGTGCCTTTGAGTCATAGATGACTCATAGTGACCCAATGAATGAAAAATCTGAACACTTGTATAACTTTCATCATTTCTCCATAGAGAAACTCTATAAAATTTCCAGAGGCAAGCCATTTCAGAAGTGGATGCCACTTCTGCTTCCAATGTGTTACTGTAGAGGAATCCTATTGATTTTTTATATTGATCTTATATCCTGCCAGTCTACTAAATTGGCCTATTAACTCTAACAGATTTTTTTGGTGAGTCTTTTGGTTTTTCTGTGTGCACTATCATATCATCTGCATATAGCGACAGTTTAACCATCTCTTTGCTGATTGAGATACCTTTTATTTCCTTCTCTTGTAATATTACCCTAGCAAGCACTTCCAATATTGAAAAGACGTGGTGACAGTGGGCATCCTTGTCTGGTCTCTGTTTGCAAGAAAAATGTTTTTATTCTTTCTCCATTGAGAATGATGTTGGCTCTTGGCTTGACATATGTACTTTTCACTATGTTGAGGAAATTCCCTTCTATTCCAATTTTGCTGAGTTTCTTTATCAGGAAGTGGTGTTATATTTTGTCAAATGCCCTTTCTGTATCAATTGCTAAAATAATATGGTTATGATTCTTGTTATTTGCTTTGTTGTTAATATAATTAATTACATTGATTGTTTTTCTTATGTTCAACCATCCTTGCATATGTGTTACAAATCCCACTTGGTCATAGTGAATTTTTTTTTATGTGCTTTTGGATTCTACTGACTAGGACTTTGTTAAGGATTTTTACATCTATATTTATGAGAAATATTGGTTTCTAGTTTTCTTTCTTGGTAATATCTTTGCCTGGTTTTGGTATAAGGGTTATGCTTGCTTCATAGAATGACTCTGGAAGTGTACTTAAGAGACAAGCAGGAATCAAGCTTAGAAGCACTAGTCCAAGGTATAAAGAGACTGCCAAATACAACCAGAAATGCACAATCTGAAGAGAAGAGGATAAAATTGATGCATAGGACCTTCTAAAGATTAAATCCATGTGTGCATCAAAAGCTTTCTCCAACAGGGTGAAAAGAAAACCTACAGACTAGGAACAAACATTTGGTAATACCATCTCAGGCAAGAGTCTTATAACAAAATTTTACAGAATACTCTTAAAGCTCCACAAGAAAAAGACTGATAACCCAATTACAAAATGGGCAAAAGACATGGAAAGAATTTTCACAGAGGAAGATATTCAAAGGGCAAACAGACACATGAAGAAATACTCCAAATCACTGGCAATAAGAGAGATGCAAATCAAAACCACAATGAAGTACCATCTCACTCCAGTAAGAGTGGCAAAGTTTAACAGGACAGCAAGTTATAAATGTTGGAGAGAATGTGGCAAGAAAGGAACTCTTCTACATTGTTGTTAGGATTGTAAAATGGTACAACCATTCTGGAAGGCAGTTTGCTGTTTCCTTAAAAAGCTTACCATAGAAATTCCATATGACCCAGCTATTCTTCTACTTGAAATATACCATGAGAAAATGAGAGCTGAGGCACAAAAAGAGATTTGCACACCAATTTTCATAGGAACATTATTCACCATTGCAAGAACATCGAAACAGCCCAAATGTCCAATCACAAACGAATGGATTGAGAAATTATGGTACATTCACACAATAGACTACTATGCAACACACAGAAGCAATGATTTTGTAAATTATTACTTACCTAGGGAGGGACTGGAGAAAATTATTCTGAGTGAACTAACTCTGTCCCACAAGGATAAATATTGTATAAAACCATTTTTGTAGAATGAGTATAAGGATCCAAGAGGGGTGGGAGAATGTGGAAACAGAGGGATGAGAATGTGCAGGGGGAGGGGGATTAATCATGGGGTTTTACAATTTGATGGGGGCGGGGTGAGGGAAATAGAAAGAATTTGTTCTTAAAAACAATGTATTCAGATTTTGTAAATAAACTAGTAAAATAAATTTTAAAAGAATGTGGATGAAGTATGCAGAATGGCTGTACCAAAATGCCTTAGTTGACTCTAAAAAATTTCAAGGAGTACCATCTCAGCAAGATTCAGTGGTAATGAAGGATCATCAAGCTGCACTGAAAGAAAAGGCAAAAATACCAGTTAACATGTTTCAACTGATAGATGTGCTCACCAGTTAATGTCAGGAAATTTGGAGGACAGCTGCCTGGCTTACTGAATGGAAGAGACCCATATTTGTTCCCATTCCCAAGAACAGTAACCCAATAGAGTATGGAAATTATCAAACAATATCATTAATAACACTTGCAAGCAAACTGTTGCTGGAGATCATCCCAAAACAACTAGAACAGTAAGTACATTGACAGAGAACTGCCACAGAACCAAGGGATATCATTGCTGATGTCAGATACATCCTTGTTGAAAGCAGAGAATACCAGAAAAACATCTATGCAAAGGCATTTGACTGTGTGGATCACAGCAAATTATGGCTAACATTGAGAAGAAAGGGCTTTCCAGAACGTTTCATTGTGCTCATAAGAAATCTATAACTAGATGAAGAAGCTGTTGTCCAAAGGAGCATGGGGACACTGCATGGTTTAAAATCAGGACCAGGAGAAGATAAAATAGATGAATGGGACCTTCTAAGAATCAAATACCTATGTGCATCCAGAAACTTCTCTAACAGGGTAAAAAGGGAAGCCACAGACTGGGAAAAAGTGTTTGG